ATTTTATATAAAGCGCTTTGCTTTAAAGTTCAAACTTTTAAAGCAGCATTTTTATTACCGCCCTAATTCTTTACATCTTTTCGTCTCATAATCTCGACCACAAGCGTCACTAATGTAACTTACATCAAACACATGTGTATTTTTATTATTATTAATAAAACTCATCTTTTCTCCTCTGGGCTGAAACGATCTTCCATTACAAACCGTCTCCTGCCGTGTTTTTCATTCATTTGATTCTCGACGTGTTTGTTTTCGTTTTCCGCTTCAGCTCCGGTCTCGGCGGGGCGTCGGGTTCAGGGCCAGAAGATCTCGTGGTGGGAGGGACAGAAGGGGCTGGCCTTCCTCCAGGACGTCCAGCTGGTGGACGGGGAGCTGGTGGTGCCGCAGCCCGGCCTCTACTACGTCTACGCCCAGACCTACTTCAGACACACACACTCGCTGGAGGAGGAGGGCGAGGACGGAGAGGAGGTGGAGGACAGAGGGAGGCCCCTGCTGCAGTACGTCTATAAGAAGGTGGGAATCCTCCTCTGAGTTCAACCCTCGTTTAACGAGTCGTTTTAATAACAGTTCCTTTCCGCTGAGAAAGATTTGATTAAATTACCTTTGACTTTCTGTGTGTGGGGACGCTGTGGTCGTGTGGAATGTGTTTTAACCACGACGCCCGAAGCCACATCTGCAAATTTATATTTAAACTTTTTAGGTTTTTTTTGTTGCTCTGAAAACCACAGAGTGAACCACCAATAAAAACACGTCCAGCAGAAACACACTGTTTCTCTGCTCATAGCAACAACAAGTCGAATGAAGTTAGAATGAAAGAGTTGAAGTAAAACCGTGATTTTAACTTTTAACAAACTGAGCGAGACTTGAGATGCTGGAAAGTTAAAGTTTGAACTTTGATGCTCGGGAGATTCTGCTTTTTAAAGGAATAAATTAAATTAGAGTTTCGGAAAAAAAACATTTCACATTTTCTTCTGACAAAGTCGACCTCGGCACATTTTAAACCAGAACCGACAGCTCGAGGTTTTTAGCTATAAGTGACCTGAACGCTCGTATTTGAGCCGATACTTAATGATTTCATCTGATATTAACTAATCTTTGTAATTTCATAGATTTTTGTCTGTTTAATTTTTAAAGTTTCAAACATTATCTATTCACGACCCGATCTCAGAGCCCATTAGCAATTTGACGCTGAATCAGCCTCTAACCACAATGCAACGCTTCTCACTCACCTCCTGCTCTCTCGCCAGGTGAGCTCCTACCAGGTTCCCATCCTGCTGATGAAGACGAGTCGGACCTCCTGCTGGTCCCGGGGCTCCCAGTTCTCTCTGCACTCCGCCCACCAGGGGGGGCTGTTCCCGCTCACCGCCGGCGACCGCCTGTTCGTCACGGTGACGAACGCCTCTGCCGTGGACATGGACGAGAAGAGCAGCTTCTTCGGCGCTTTTCTCATCAGCTAGGATGACCAGCAGAGGGAGCTGTCGTCACGTTTGTGTTGATTCTAGACTCCTCCTCCTCCTGCTCCTCGCTCCTGAAGTGAAAAACTGACGCTAGAAGTCGCAGCTTTGTTCAGAGTCTCAGCCCAACACTGGTTTTGTTGGTGAAGACTTAAGACGGACACGAGTTTAATTGTTGTGCAAATGTGTTGATTTTGAAATGTGTTGACGTGACCGACGGAGAAAGTTCTGCTGCACAAACTTTTCTTGGATTCGTCCGTGGACTCACGTAAAGTCACCGGTTCATCGCGTGCACCTACGTTTAATCTCCTGTGCTCTTCTAACGTCACTTGACATCATTTCGTGCGCGGCCCCGTCGGGTCCTGAGGCCGTGGTCTGCGTCTGTTCTATAACTCCTGCCGCAAGACGTTCATCAATCCACAAAATCGCTTATCACTCTTTTTTCCTCGGTTCAAAGATGGATCGTCTTCGTTGTCCCAGGAGGGATCGACTTTACATGTCCATTTCTCACATGTACACATGCAAGCAATATGTGCCCAGTGGACATATGGTCGTATTTACGTGATCTTGAAGGACGTGTGTGCGAAGTCCAAAACCTCAGAACCCGAAGTTTCCTTGCTTTGCCAACGAGCAGCGTTGAAGCGATGCAGGAAAAGTTGAATGAATAATGAGTGTGAGGTGGTTTCACTTCAGCGTGACGTAAAAAACTTCATTAACTCACCTTTGGCAGCCTCTAGATTCTCCACAAGGGGGCACTGCTGCCACCTGGGATGGACACGCGCCACCTACGGGAGAGAAACGTCGCAGCAACAGTTGTGCGCTTTGTGTAAACGTAATCATTTGTTCTCAATTTCCCAACAAAGCTTCAGTGTTTTCCTCTCAGAAATGTTTGTGCGTAACCTTTCTCAGATGGTTGAGCGTTTAAATCAAAGACACGGCGAGGAGAGCGGCGCCTCGCGCTGACATCCGCACGGTGACATTAAAGAAGCATCTTCATCACCTCATCCCTCATGAGTTTGTAAAGTAAAATTCAAAACACTGCTGCTTGTGTTTTTGTTGGCAGCCGCATCACAGTCTCTGGCTCTGCTGTCAGTCCTCCAGCGTTGGCTCGTCCGCGGCGAGCGCTCTCCAACTGGTGCATTAAACGCTGCCTAATGGTTGGTATTCTCGGGCATTCATGTCACGTTGGATTAGATGCAGATGTGACCTGCAGACGTGGAAAACATCACTCACGTCGTCACGCAGCACAGTCGAAATATGGGCTGTCTCTCTTTTCTCACTGGAGCTCTGCTGACTCTGGAAACTGCAGCAGAGCCACCGATTCACAAAGAGAATCTCTGATTATAAAACTGAAAAGGAGAATAAATAAAGATTAAACAAAACAAATTCAACCATATATATAAAACTTGAATTAAAAAATAAAACCTCGACTATTTTAAAGTAAAATACAAACATTAATCCACATTTTCTCTCCAATGTTCATAATGTAAAATTGTTTTTAATATCGATGCATCAAAACTCTTGTTATCAACATATATATCGTTCGGGCTCTGGTCACAAGATTCACAGATTTGACATGAAGGCAGCGTTCACTGTAGCATTTCTGTAAATACAAGTTTCTCTCAGTGTCTTGATTATAAATGTGTACATATATATATTTTAGACGTGGTTTTAGTTTTGGTTTCCACAAAAACGACTTTCAGACTCAAGATAAATCTGTTGTAAATGGACAGAGGAGGTTTTTTTTTTACGTCTCTCTCCGCTGAGAGAAGAAACGGAACAAGAATCAGGATCAAACGTAAAACACATCAAAAATTTATTTTTTTACCAAGTAGATCGAAACGAATGTGAATGTAAATATGCAAATGTTGGTTTTGTAAATATGTGAAATAAAAGACACTGTTAAAAAAATGAAAGGCTCAGTTTCAGTGTTTGGTTGAGGACATGTTGGTTTTTCTTACCTTCGGGTTCGCAGAGGTCGTTTCTGATTTCCTGGTGATCAGTCGAGAAGATTAAAGATCAGAATCAAGAGCAAAGATACAAAACAGAGTCACCAACAACTACACGATGTTGTTTTTACAGAATACACCCAGGGAATAAAGAAATGCTAAACTTTACAATAAAGCTGCACCAATCTATGTTTTGGTTCAGATTTAAAAGACTGAATTACATTTTTCTCTTTTAAACTTTGTGTAATAGTTTGTTTTGTAATTCGAGTATGAACATTTATATTCTCTGTGCATCAGGAGAAAAACTGTGATGTGTAAAAAACACTAAATAAAATAAACATGTTAATCTGTGAGCAGCCGGACGGATGATGGACGAAAAGCTTCTGAGCCGACGGAGGAGCGCTGCCTGGAAACATCTGGCAAAGACAACAAACAAGTCGTAAACAATTATTCCACGTTTTGAAATTTGAAAGAGTGGCAGCGACATGAAGTCATAAAAAGTTGTCAAAGTGCATTGGTGGATATTTACAGGGATGTTCCGCCCCCTGCTGGTGCGCATCGAAAGCTGCAGAAAGACGGAGCTTCACAACAACATCCAGAGGAAAACGAATGATCACACAACACTTTGGTAAGTTTTTGATTTTCTTTCTTTTTTGTGGAAATATGTTACAGTTATATTACAGGTATTTAAATGCCCCGAGGGAGAACAAAAATCGTTTGGAGACACCAGGAACTAACACTAAGAAGAAGAAGACGGCAACGTAACCGAGACAGAGACAGTCCAAACTGGATCGACAGACTTGACAGGCAGAGTAGGTGAAAGCGAAGTCCAACACGTGGCAACCGTGTCAGGAGACATCCAATAAATACTGCGAATGTTGTTAACAAAACGTTCAAACTGAACAAAAAGACGAGGAGAACAGGTGCGCTCTCCTTCTTCAGTCCTCTGTGGTGTTTAGCAGCATGAGTGTAGCTTTCAGAAAACTAAATCTCGTGAGACGCGGTGCGAGGAGGCCGCGATCAACCGGAGGTTTTAAACACTTGGGGGGGGGGGGGAGAAACGTGGCGGCTTTAAAAATGTGTGGTCGGTGTGAGAAAGTGGGGAAAGTGCTTCATTCAAGAACCGCGACATATTTAAACAACGAACCACAGAGAAGTTTCATCTTCCGTCTGCAGCGCTGGTTCATCGACGACACATTTAAAGGCATTTTTAGTCGCTGCGACATCACAGCATGTTTGTCAGTTGAAGATAAATCGGATCATCACATTTTTAACGTTAACGACTCGCGTGATCTCACCGGTCAGCTGTGTGGAAACGCTCCGGTTGAAAGCAGCTCAGCCTCGGCGCCGGCCTCCATCGATTCGAACTTATAAAATATATCATAAAACATTTTCTCAAATGGAAACTGATAAAGTCCATGTACAAAAAGTTCTTTCCTTTATATAAATTACACGTCTCTGATGATGATGATGTCTCTGTTCCTGCTGATACTGTTCATCTCCAAACCAAAGCATTCCCCTCACACACACTCTCATCCACGCTCGCTCACACACACACACACACACTCCCGACTACACAACATGCTCTACACGTTACCCATAGTAGAGAACAAAACAGAAACTATCCTCACTGAAATGAAATCTCTGCACATACAGTAACGCTACATCTCCTCTTTCTTTTCCTTCTTCTCTTCCACGCTGCATCTGAACGCAAGACCACAAGCATGGTGCAGTTTCGGGCGATGGACGGAGGGCGACCCCTCATCTTCAGCTGGTGACCCTCACTACCGCCTGTCACTGTAGCTGCCTTGTTCTGGCTCCGCCTACTGCAGGTCCCTGGCACGACCCGATGGATAACGCCCAGCGGGCGGGGCGGGGGAATGTGCGATACGACTGACCAGAGGAGGGGCGGAACCTCAACAGTCAAACCGCATCTCCAGTGAATCGTCAAAGCCCCTGTTGTCGTGGCCCGCCCCCGACAGGAAGCTGGCTGTGACGGGCGCCCCGGTGGCCGCGGTGACGTTGAGGAGGGTGTTGCCGGGGGAGCTGGTGGCCGGGCTGCGGAGGGCCGCCGCCGTGATACTGGTGAGGTTGATTCCCAGCGTGAGTCGGGTCTGTTCCAGAGCTTTCTCTGGCACGGCGAAGGCTTCTAGCTTCTTCTCCCCGTTGGCCATGTAGGAATTCTGGCAGCCGCGGCAGATACAGTCCAGACACGCCTGCAACACAACAACGATAATCAACAACAGGTTTGATGAGACGCCATAAAGACTCAAACGAAAATCACTTCTAGAATTAAAAGGCTGCAGAGTGTGAGGTTCATCTTCTGAAGCTTGATGACTGAATACTCCAGTGCTCATGAAACTATTTGACACCGTTAACAAACACAAGTCGTCAGTTTGTTGATATATGCATCGTTAGGTTGTGTTTGTGTTGTCATGACAACAACTGGGAGCAGGACGTTGTTCGTACCTTGCGGTTGGAGTAGCAGGGGCAGCGCTGCCCCCTACAGGTCAACACGGAGGGGTTCTGTGTGGCCCGGCCGCACTTGCAGCCCTTCTTCTCCACAGGCTTCTTATACAGTGGCTTTGAGGGGCTGGGTGGGTGTGTCAGGGGGTGTGCATGGGGGTGAGGGGGCAAGCGGTCACGGGGCTGTGCACGAGGCTTTGGAGCCCCTTGCCTGGCTTTGGTATAAGCCTTCTTTGTGGACCCATGATGCTCCACAGTCTTTTTCAGTGCCTTGTTGGAGACGAGCACAGCCTTCCCCACTTTAGGGGGGCCGCCATTCGGCACCGGGGCCAGGTGAGGGTGGGGCGAGACTGCAGGAAATTTAGGCTCCTGTTTGGTGGTGGCACCAGGGTTGGGGTGGTGGGGGGAGCTGTTGGCACCGTGGGGGGGCCCTCGTAGGAGGCTGGAGATGGGGAGAGGCTGCACCTTCTCGCTGTCGCTTTCTGAGCGGGAACGCTTGCGGTGGCACCGAGGGGGGGCTCGTGGGATGACTGTGGAGGGTTGAGGGGGAGGCTGCAAGGAGGGCTGCGGGTGAGACTGGAGGGGGCGAGGGCTGTTCTCTGGGGGGAGAGAGGGGATGAGACGGGAGGAGTCCAGCCCAGACGGGCAGCGCGGCCCGTTGAGGCTGGACTGAGGTACAGAGGGAGGGCAGTCTGGCTGGGGGGTGGGCTCGGGTGTGGGGTCAGGGTCCGTGTCCGTCTCCAGAGTCCTGAGCACCTCCTCAACACTCAATAACAACGGCCCTCCGCCATGTTTCAGGTCATCCCCGAAGGTGCTAATGTCACAAAGCCCCGCCTCCCCAGTCCCGGTGACGCTCACACACACGGGGATCTCTGTGGAGAAGCTTTCCTGCTTCGCAACGCCGCCACCTGTTTCTATGATGACGGGTTGCAGAGAGTCCGAACTGACCAGGCCGTTACAATCATGCAGTCCGTTAACGCTCAGAGGGCTCAGCTCCTCTCCTTTGAGCTCCTTCGCAGGAGAAGCTTCGTTGGGATGGACCACGTCGGAGGTGGAGGCCGTTTGCGACAGCCCCATTGAATCCGGAACGTCCTCCGCCTCTGGCTCGCTCTCGGCCAACTTCAGGCCCTCGTTCAGGATGGCCTGGAGATCTGGCGAGTCACTGGCGGCGCTGGCTATGTGAGGGGCGAGTGGCGACTGAGTGATGTAGAGACAGAGCTCCCTGTAAAGGTGGACAAGCAAAGAGAGCTGCCTGTTTTCCTCAAAGCGGGAATAGTCCTTACACCAACTACAGGAGGGCTTCAGCTGCATCCTCTGACCCTTACAGCCTCGACAGACGTAATGCTGACATGACGAGTCGGTGGGAGCGATCGGGTCCTGCAGCAGGTTACCTGAAGCAGAGCACAGACGGGGAAGATGGTCGGAAACATTAACACATCACACTTTTCACAGGAACAGAGCAGATCAGCTTACACTGATGAGTAATGCACAGACTTTCACAGGATCCAGAAAAAGCAGCACCGGCTGCCAACACAAGCGCGACAATAAAATCCTTATCCGGCCAAATGTGTTTCTGACAAACTGCGGTTGTGACTAAATGTGTTTTACAAACCATTACTTCCTCATCTGCAGTTGCAGTAGCTTCCTCAACTGATATGTACTTGCAAACCTGAGTGGTGCATGGCAACTCGCCACAGCGGCTGACAACCTGCTCTTTGAGACGAGCTTCCTTAGCAATGCTGATCACTAGGGACCGCAGCTGCAGATCGGGGAGAAAAAAGGGATGAAGGGCCATTCATACGAAACGAGCCCCCATACACACTCAGTGCTGCCTCACAACTGCAGAACGTAGATATACAACACAGTGTTTGGAGTGCTTTCATATCTATGCATTATTAATGTTCAGAGTGACGGCGGCGAGGTTATCTGTGAGTACATATCATCTTTACCTCACACCAAGTCAGGGAAATATGAAATAAAACATCAATAAATCAGATATAATCCGACGTAGCTATTTACTGACGAGCCGCGGGAGAAGCAGAGCCACAAAAAAACAACACGAAACCAAAAACAACCACAAACTGTGACGAGGGGAGCGTCGCTGCATTATGTACGTTTCAGTTCTGCAAATGAAAATGTTGTCAGATGTGCTCCCTCTGGTTTTAATGGAGTGCATGTGTGTGTGTGTGTGTGTGTGTGTGTGATGATGCAGCTCAACATGATAAACACAGGAACACTCAGAGGGGGGTGTGTCAGGATGGGTGTAGCTGGGAACTGTGAGGCGTTCACTGCCCTACGGAATCTCTGCCGTCACGTTTCATAAACAGGACTCACTGGCGTGTAAACAAGTGAAAACAAATGGATTTTTTTTAATTAATGGATCCTGTCAAAAGAAAAGTTCTCTCCTCTAAGAGCGTCACTACTATAAAATAAAAAACTGAGGATATAATCAGTCTGCATGTCAGAGAGCCTGACAC